ACATATAACAACATATTGGTTAAGATCAACGCCTTCGGTTCAATTGAGTCTGTTCGTTTGTATTTAGTAGATTTTGCATGGAAAGTAATAATTCACACGTTCACTAATTGCTACAATGGCTAAATATTGAATTGCCTTAAAACTATAAAGCTCTCTTTTGTTTCTTGCATTATTAGTGTTAGAATGAAGTAATTGTGAATAGACAAACAGACCTATTGATATCGTCGTTCGGTTACAATTTGGGTGTTACTTCGATAATATCAAAAACGTTTAATATATTAGTAAGGAAAGAATTTTAAAAGGTGCAAATTATGGTTGTAAAAGGGAGCAATGTATTTGAAAAATACTACAAAAAAGTGCTGCTAAAAAACCAACTCTATTAAGGTTTTAAACGCAGTAAACATTAACTCAAGTTTCTACAATATTTTGTATCAATTTGTTAAGCCAAATTTTTTCTTAATTTATAGAGTGCGTAAGAATAGTACTTTATCCCAACACGGTAGTAGATAAATAACTTACAAAGTAGGCTTTCAACGGCCAGTTTCTAAACATCATAAATTAGTTGTTTTCGGGTTGTAAGCCGTGGTCCAACGGAGACTGAGGTCCATACGTTTAACAACTATTATGATGAGGTAGATAACTGTTAAGCCATTGCTGGTTCTGACTGAGCGCCGCCCGCATGACAATTGCCAACAATGGGGAAACTCCGTGCTTGGTCCACAGGCATGCTTCCCTGTCTCCCCTCACCTTTTCCCCACAAATCCACGAGCGCTAACCAATGCCCTTTGAGTATTAACGGCGACACAATGCCGGGGTAAAACATTTTCCTCAGGTCGGCAAACAAAGTGGATTTCTGGAAGTCCAGATTTGCCTGTCACTGTGCAGCACTTTAAATTCAGCGGAAAGGGTTAAATTGTTTGCAGCAAACACTGTTTGAAATTTAAATTTGACTTTACAGTTGCAGATTGACCCACTTGCTGGGGATATAAATTACTGGTGGTTTTACGTAATAATTTTAATTTAAATATTTATTTAATATTGTTGACTTCTGAATAATGAGCTTTTAAAGCCGATAAAAATATAAAAAAATAGATTTGTCTTCCCAATTGTTTAAAAAACGCTATAAACAATGGAGAATATGGTGGTAGGCAATAAACAGGGAAAAAGGAAGCAAAATGTAGTAATCTAGCGAAAAGTTACAGAAAAATTGTGTTTCATTTCGCGTTATTTCATCCCCACGAATATAATCAGTATGCAAAAGTGTTGAATGATCAGTATAAAATACAACTGATAAGGTACCGCACCTTACAATGCCTTTTCTAGTTATTAAAAAAAGATTCTTATTTCAGGATTGCATTCACGATCATTTGATTCTCACCTTTTGAGTTCAGTACGATCAATGGCTCTAGTGAAATGTTTTATAGACTATTGAAATTTTTTGTCCAACAAATATCTTCATTCCGCGAAATTCTTGGTAAGTATTACATATGTTAATCTAATATATAATAGTATAATTATTCTTAAATCCTTAAATGCAATTATTATGAAATAATTTTTTCTAAAATTGAATTTGGTTAATCTTCAATGTCCTTGAATATATGTGTGTGTGTATATATATGTGTATGTGTATATATCTCCCTCTCCCTCTCCCCCTCCCCTCTCCATAAAATTGCACGTGGACTCAGCCCACTAGAAAACTGCAATCAATAATTGACTACATTAATTACTAAACAACAAGTCGCATCAATAAAGTGAAAGGAGGGGTTCAAAAGAGGTTGCTTGCCTGTGGATCAGATCACTACTTTTATTAAAAAGGAAAAGCTTATGTATAAAACATCACTTCAAAAGTTACGGAAAATCACAAAACGCAAATACAAAAGGTGGGAAAAATAGAGAGTTCAATGTGGGCGAGCTAACAATATTGAAAGCCTTCAAGATGAATTTCCATTGGCAATTTTTGTATCAAATTGGTGGCATAGCAGATAAAAATTAAAGTACATTGCAATAGGAAATATGAAGACAAATACCAATTTTTAGAAAAAATGCATCAATGAAGCCCCGCTAAAGAAGCTTTGGGCGAGAAGGGAAAAATGTGAACATTAAGAAAAAATTAGCATTTGAGATGGCTTTTCCTCAAAGGATTAGAAGACAAGAAGTGAATATTAACGAATGAAATATTTTGGTCAAGAAAGAAGTGAAGAAGGCAGAAAAATGTATTCTGGGAAACAAAGATTTAGACAAGTGCCATTGTAAACACCAATCCAAAAGAGGCATGGAAAATGTTTACATTTCATGAAATTGAAATCAACCAAGAATGGCAATTAAATGACCCAAATTGGTATTGAAAAATGGGCAAAATACTATGAACAATCTTTTGACAGGAATAGAAATAAATTTCAGGGAATAAATTATGAAAACAGACTGCATGTAAATTCAATCACACCAGATTGTGATTTGGTAAGAGGTAAAAAAGATGTTAAAAAACATGAAAAATAATAAAAGCATCGCAGGCCTGGAGGTATATCCATAGAGCTGGTTAAACATTATCCTATTGTAGGTTTGGGAATTAATTACTGGAAATATTCATGGATTTTAAAAGGAGGTAAAATACTGAAATATGGAAATTAGCCTACATAAATTCCAATTTTAAAAAAAAGGTTGTAAAAAATATTGTAAATAATTATAGAGAGATAGACTTCATTTTTTGGTTAGACTGTATGGGTGTGCTAATGTATAGATTGAAATGCAAACCATCAACTCAGAAGAGCAAAGTGGTTTGTAGACGGCAGGAAGATCCTGTATTGACAATATTTTCTGTCTCAAACACTGATGGAAAAAAACAATTGAGCAAGGAAGAGAATCACAATTTTACACATACTTTTCATTGATCTCAAACAGGCTTATGATAATGTAACCAGATAAAAGAAGTATGGGGGGCAATGGAAGACAAAAAGGAATACAACAAGCTACATAAATGCAGTCAAAAATTTTTATTCAAGATAACAAAAGTCAAGTAAAGTGGGAAAAAATGTCATCAGACAACTTCACAAGTAAATAAAGATTACGGCAAGACTGCTGTATATCGCCAACGCCTGTTTAAGATATACATTGATAAAAGCCCTAAAAGAAAGGAAAGAAAAGTGCAGAAGCATGGGTGTGAATAGGTTGATGAAAACATTGTTTAGTCTACTATTTACAGACGACGCAGGGTGATAATAGCTGAGATGAAGATAATGTAAAACTATATGTTCAGAAAATTATAAATGGGGAATGGAAATAAATGTACAAAAAACTGAAAATATGGTGGTCAGAAGATTCCCACGGATTTAAAGAGAACTTTAGTAAAGGAATAATTAAAGGTAATACACATGTAAGTATTTGGGAGCAGATGGAAAGAGACCGAAGCAGGATGTGAAAAAATAAAATAGAAAAAGAGGAAAAATAGCCACAAGACAGTTGAATCCAGTGTACGGAACTCAATTTTTCAACGAAGAACAAAGAAACGCATATATAGCTCCTTCACTGAGAGGGACGCATACTCTATGGGGAGAAGTCTGGGCAACTAACAAAAATTTGAAAGAAAACTTCAAATGAAGCAGTAATGATGTTCTGGCGAAGATGTTGTAAACTTTCTCTGTTTAGTTTAAAATAAGAAATAAAATGAAAGGTGCAAACACCGCTTGACCGATACTATCAAATAAAACAACTAAAATGGTATGGACATATGAAAGGTTGAAATCGGATAATTTCCACAAAAACGTTTAAAAGTGATACCAAAATGAAAGAAAGATTCAGGGGAAGACCAAGAGAACATGGAAATAACTAAAGCCATGGAAAAAAAGAGAAATGGAAGAAAACGATCAATGGGATTAAGAGGCATGGAATTGGGATGGCGGAAAACGGCCCCGGCTGTAAAAAAAAAACGCTAAATTGATAGATAGTTTGATATGTGTGAAATCAAAACAAGGGAGACATATCGACTCCAGCAGCAAGATTTTCTTCGACTCTTCGCGAGGCGAAGATTTCTTCACGAGTGGGTCGATCCTGCGTATGAGTTTCTGATATTTTTCTACAGAGCCACAGAACAAGTGTTAAGAAACTGGTAAAAGGTGTGATAACCAATAGTTCATTATTTTTCTCTTTAAAAGGAAAATTATTAAAAAAGAACAAATGTGTTGGAAGTTACTCTTGTAACGCAGCAGTGCACTGGTTGTAATAAACAATGCACAGGTAAAAATTTCAGGAAGAAAACTTAAAGGGATAATTTGAAAAGAACTGAATTAGTTCATTACTTTTATAATTGTTTTCTTATTTATGAATGAATTAATTAAATGTAATATTATTTTTAAAAATCAAATCTCTATTTATAATTCAACTAGTAGGGTAAGAGATTTCGGTGCTCAAAAAAATTTCAATTGTTCAGCACCAATAAGCAGGCGCGGTTTCTATGAGGAGAGGAACTGAAGGGAAAGCTCCTCCCCCCCCCTCAAAATGGTTCCAAGTAACTATTAATTTTAACTTCCTCACATCAAATTTTAACTTTGCTTAGATTTTCAAGCAAAAATATTTTCGGATTATAGATAAAAACAAATAAAATCGTAAAAAAATCGCAGTAATGAGCTGAGTGTAGCCTGCAACCATTTTATAAATTCTGTAATACAAACAATACTCAACCAAACAGTTTTGAATTTCCCTCCCGAAAGAAATTCGTCTGGATTCCCGCCCTGCCCATAACGTCACAGAATTTTAACTGTTTGTTTTATATAAAATACTAATGATTTAAAATAATGCAATGTTTGTTTTCTGTTTAGGCAAATTGGAAAATTTTTATTAAAATATATATTATTATATATATAAATTTCAATATTTTACTAATCATGGTTGCTAAAGCAAGGATTTCACGAGGTTAAAGTTAGACAAAAGCATTCAATAAAACCAGTATCAAATGGCATTCGCAACTGATCTAATTGAAGTAATTACTTTTCAGTCATGAACCCCTTGGCTGGTGCAGCATAAAGGCACTTCGAAACATTGACAGCTATTTCTAGTGCGATGGCAACCTCACACGGCAGCTTTCCGTCTCCGGTGTAGTCTGCCTTCGTTGAAGTTTTTACCTGGGTTTCACAAATACTAGATGGGGCTTTTCTAAGCGCTCGAATAATGTAGTTTTCGAGCGAGCAACATAGCCCCCGCCGCTGCAGGAGAGAAAGCAAACAAACTGAAAGGGAAGTAGGTCTCTCCGTCACTGAAATCTCGCTTTACTCACTAAGCAATAAAACGTTTCCAGTTTTAACAAAAAAAAATTTGATGCCAATAAGAATTTATTTCAATTGTAAAAAGTAAAGACTTTAAATACCCAATCAGGAGTTATTTAGGAAATATTTCTAAAATCTTCTGATACTTTTAATAATATTACCAACAAAGAATAATTACAAATAAGCAAAAAGGAAAGAATATTTATAACAAAGTTTTGGCAGCTGGTGAAGCAATGTAAATATTGTTCATTAAACAAAACACAGAATTTTAGAATTTAGGACAAGGCAACACAAATCTGTTTACATATAAATTAAACAACTGCAATTCAACTTGCAAACTTCATTTTTTCTATGTTGCTGAAAATGCTCTATTAAACTAAGATTTTTGCATAAATGGTCTCATCACACAGGCCACAAAAAAAAGGAGATTCTTCTTCAGGTTCACATACATTGCCTTCTAAGTTCCAAGGACGTAAAAATGTCCTTATCAACATATTTTTGATTCCAAAATAGTTGGTTTGCTTTTTGAATTGTTTTCCAAACACCATCACATTCTGTAAGCGAAGGTGCTAGCCAGAACACAGGACGTGAGAATATTTTTCCAACAACATGACACTTCCAATCTTTTTCCTTCCTGATGTACACGATTAACATGATCAGTGCAAACTGCAAATGTCTATTAAATACTTTATCACATTCATTACATTTAAATGGAAATTCATTGTTATGATACGTTGGTGTGCCTTAGATTGAATGTTGGAAGTGAAAAGCGCAGGTCAACAGATATTACATTTGTGTTTTTTAAGATGGTCCGGTTTTGAAACGAGTTCACATGATTGCGTTGATGTTCTCCCCTAAATTGGAAGGATCACTAAAGCTTTTATCAACATTTTACAACGGTAAGGTTTCTCCCCCGTAATGTACTCTCATATGGATTAACATCTTGTTTTTTTATTCGAATGCTTTGTTGCAAACCTACATTAAAGGGGTTTATCAGTGAGGGGTGAATTTTGTTTGAGGAGTGTATATTTCCAGCACTAATCACCTGTGTCCCTAATTTGAGCACAACCTTGAACACAAATCTCCTGGAGAACAGTCAAATCAAGTTTGGAAGTAGAAAGGTGTCTGCACAAGTTTTTGCATTCATACCACTTGCTGTTCAGTGGCCTAAAACCAGTTTCCATAATTTGAAGGCCAGAGAGCAAGGAATTTTGGCATTGACATTGCAGATGCAAGTCAAATTTCCACATTTAGGTCAGCAGAGCTCCTTCAGGGGCCTTGGGGATGACAGAATTTGCCTGGTGATCGTTGAGGTCACAGGGAGAGCTTTTTGCTTCACCCAGGAGGCTGCTCTTCTGGCAGGGCAACGCTGTTCATGCACGCAATGTTCCTTCAGGTGCCTCCACACTGTGGATAACACAGCCGCGCAGTTCTGGACATGAGAATGTCTTCAACATACTGCATGATCCTTGACCTGCACACACAGACTTTTGCTTTAGTGATATTTAACATATAATAAGAGTAAGCTAACAGAAGGTGCCAAACATTTTCAAAACAAATGGATACAGAAAGTCATTCCAAGTTGCCATCTCAGTTATGATGCTAATATATTAATAAATTCAGAATATAAATATTAAAGCTAATTTTCTGCCGCAAAGAGGTTTTTGGATGTGTGACACTAAGATAATAGTTTTAAGTGGATGCTGTTGATAGTGCAGGCTTTCCAAACAAATGTGAGAAAACATTATCATAAAGCAAATAAATAACACCTGATATGGGCAGGAACTGAACAATATCTTAAGCTCTTTATGAGGCCCTTCAAACTTGTAAAGTTCTTATTGAAACACGCAATATAGTTTATTGGTTTTGCAAAGAAATGGATTTGTAATGCAAGGGAATATCCTTTTTGCCACATTTCTAAATTTATTCCAATGATTAAGGGCTTTCATGACTTCTATCCTCCTCATCATCCATAACGGGCCATATACATAACTAGGTAATTCAAGATGGTTCCCAGATAGAATCAGAATAATGAAGGTTAAAGCTGCTTTTATACATTCAAAATAAGAAATAAAAATGTAGTAAAGACGTTATAAATTTGTGTAACTATTTCAATGCAAACATCCCAAAGCATATCAATAATACAGGATGGATTTGGTCTTCAAGGTTAATATCATAAATGCCAAGCCAATCCACTTGTTAGGTTGTTGATTCACTAGAGGCAGAGGATCACAATAGTGGATTCAGTATGGGCAAATCACTGTTGTCATATCCTTTCCCAACCAAAACATCCAGAAAATCAAAAATAAACATGAACATTAGAATTAGGCAACTGCATTCGTTCATAGACTCTTAACATGTGTAGTAATTTAAAGAATAAATTTGTGAAATGAGTGAAAGTAAAAATATCATATTTACTTGATATAAGATGAATCCTTGGCTTCAGAGGCTGCTAAGGAATTTTAAAAATGTTTTAACTAATTGGCCACTAACGTGTTTAACTACTTAGTCAAAAATAAAAATAGAGAATTGGAGTAAATTTGACCAGCAAACCAGCCTTGGAAATTTTAAAATATTTTGCCTGAGTTATCCTCTAATTTTCTTGGCTCTTGAATGACATTATCAATCATCATAATAATTTCTGTCAATGCCATCTTCATCTCCCACGTGTTTCATTATTTCTAGCCCTTCTCCCATTATAGGGTCCACCGTCTGATTGTTTTGCCTCCCCATCCTTTGGTGCTTTAGCAATCTGGCATTCTTTGTCCTTTCTCTGACACTATCGCAAGGGCATCTAAAACTGCGTTGCCTAGATTTTCTTCGCTGGCATGCGTGTCCGTGGCCTTATCTTCGATCATTTTACTTTAATTCGCGAGGTTACCTAATTTCAAAACTGAGCTACACAAACATCTGAGTGTCAATGAGAGAACGAAGTTTTCAAAGTTTGGGATTTTTGGCCAAAGATTTTTTTTATTGGTCCCGTCTCTGCGGTTTGGATGAAAGAAATGTGTATTCTGACAATGTGATTTTTTTCATTTACATCCCTTGCAAACGGTAGATTCACAGTAAAGCAAATCCAAACCAAATAGGCCTTAATCCTGCGAATGTTCAGATGAATTTTTGAATGAGATATTTAGTGAATAAAAAAACTCGTCTTATATTCGGTATATTACGGTAAATGTGGTTTTTTTTGGTGACGGGGGCCTAGGGTATGCGCCACTTTCAAAATTTAATACAAAGAAATAAGAGGTATAAAAATTATTGGCCCAACCACCCTGAATGTTCATTTTTTCCGTTTCCTCTGTAGAAATCAGGTTAATATTCTGTACATTATTTACTTGTTTTTATTGTAAAACAAAGGAGGTTATTTAAATGTAATGTTCATAATTTATGGTAAGTGATCCAGCAATCAGGTCCATGGACAAAAGTGGAACGGCAATGTTGGAAAGTAATGTTTTTCAAAAACTGTGAAATCTGCACATACTATTATACATTTCAAAGAAACTAAATATTGGTCTACTGCCAGTGAAAAACAGGAGTGATTCATCAAAAAGAAAATGAAGAATTAACTTAACTAAGTACGAAACGAAAAATATTTAATGAACTTTACAAAATTGGTTTAATTGTAGATAAATTGAAAAGAAGATTGTAAAAGAAAATTGATTCATTTTTCGGTGGGGGTGAGGGGGGAGGGATAATATTATTTTTTAATAAGCGATACCTGAATTTATTTTTTTAGGACGTCTCTGTATAGATATAATTTTGCTTCAACCAGGCATTGAAGGAGATGGGAAACAAATTTCGCACAAAATTTTAAAAAAATCTTACATATTGCAGCAAAAATAATAAAATTTGAGAGAAATAAACTAAATTATACTATTCTCTTTGAAATGTAAAGACAACAACAAGAAGACAATGCGAGCAATGGCAATCTAATGAGAATGCAAATTGTAATATAAAAAAAAGAAACATTTTTATTTTTTTTACTGAACTTTTATTTGACTTATAATGTTGGATTACATTACAATAATTGAAAAAAACAAGATATCATGGCATCATTTTAAAGGCTTCATGAGAAGATGCATTTCTCAATGTGGAGAGAGAACATGAAAATAAGTGGGCAAAACAAGATTTGCATGTTCAGTAAAAAATTAAACATTTCAATGCACCATGGCCTTATAAGATTTCAAATGCCTCAACACTAGAGGAGTTCTGGAGCAATTTGCCTTTTGATATTAAAGTAGAAATATTCCTTTGTTTGTAAATATCTATTAAAGGAGAACAGCAAAAGCAATAAGGAACAGAAACATTACATTTAAGATTGTTATTTTGTGTGATGGTTTGGAAAAAAAAAATAATTGAAAACAAACAATGAGAAACTGTCAGAAACCATGAGCAATGATTCCAAATCTTGGGTAAATGATAATACTCTAGAAGTCTACTAAAGGCAAAAAATATAGAAAAAATCAAATTAATAAAATCTAATTTTCAAATTAATCTGAGCTTGAAATTTTTTGGATTATGGCAAAATCCACCAATGTAGTAATACAAGTCAATGCTGTAATTGGTTCTTGCACCAAAACCACAGAAAATATATGAACTTTGGTAGAACAACATTAATCAGTGGGACCTAGCATTTACAACTTATTGTAAACTATTTTTTTATGTTCTCATGAAAACTCCAATGTAAAACAGCAAAAAGCCACAAGATTTGTCACACATCTGGGGTCTTCAGACTTATGTGAAAACTTTAGGCACAATACTGAACCAACAACATGGAACATGAAAATGCAAGTATTGCAGTCTGTAGGTGACTGCGTTCAAAATGCAAGATTTTTCTGGAAAGCATTAACTCTTTTGGGGAGGCATGGCGCGGCATTGTTTCTTGTGGTGCAGAAGTATGCAGATCATGTGGCCATTATAATGAATGCAGCATTGGCAGATCAGTTCATCATATGAGAGCATAATTGTTTTAATACAATGCTACATTTTATAATTCTTCAAGCTAGATTGCAACTCTAACACAGAAAATAAACTTGTCTTGTAACTGTAACTTTAAGACTCGTTTACCGCACTGCCTACTCACAGTAAAACATAAGACTGATTGTTCTGTAACTTAAGACCTTTTTTATCTCGAAGGAAACTGAGGCACCCGCTGTCTATCTGCATGAAGTTGATTCTAATAATGTATGCATGTAGTAATGAGAAGTCTTTGGCGTCACTGGCAGGTTTCTCAGATTAGAGGCAGAACAGGTGGGTAATATTCATATTTGTTGTAAACAATTAAAACTAAATTAAAAAAAAAAAAAGAATGGAGGGTACTTAAAGGAATTTTAGTTTGGAGCAAAGGAATACACTTAATGGATAAATATGTGATACAGCATCAATATGACGCAACACAGCCTGCTCACAAAACCACAATATAAAACATGAATTTAGATTCCTGCTTCATTCTTCCAAAGCCATATTTTGTAATACAAATTTTTAAAAACCTTATCCTGTGGCAAAAACGCAATAGCTACAAGGCAACTGTATTTTATGCTGGTTCTGATCTATTATTACAAAGTTGTTTATTTGTCTGTATGTTAGGGTTTATCCATATTTTTTCAAAATGAGGGTATTTTTTTGAAGTGTATCACGAAAGTAAAAAAGTTTGGGGAACCATTGCTTTAGAAAAGGCCTGGATGTTTGCGGCAGTGAATTACGATGATGGCGTTAATTAGTGTGGGATTTGGAAGCAATATCGATAACTACTCTTTTCTTATTTTATAATGCTACCATTGCTCTTCCTAGTTGTAAGTTTTCCGCGGGTCCACTTGTCATCTCATCACCTGTGTCTGATGATTCCCCTTTGTTGGAGTTATTTTTGGAAGGCTGTTCCCGTGCCTCCCTCGCCCTCGTCGCACGACCTCTTCCACGCCCTCGCCCCTCTTGCCCGTCCCTCCCTCTTCCTCTTACGCTCGTCCTCTGATGTCAATCCATTTCTTCTCCTCGGAATGCTTTCTTCTGTGGGTTCAACTGCCGGCTTAATTCCTTTCATTACACTGTTGTTTTTCCTGGACTTGTGTTGAATGCCTCGGGGCAATTTGCTTCAAATCCCATGCCACTTTTCTTAAGATCAGATGTTTCCTTCAACCCTGAATATCACATATTCACAATGTTACACAATGGTAGAAATTGACAAACGATTAAAAAATATGCCTAAAATATTTAGTAAAAAGTAAAGTCCTGGCCGGCGGGGGGGCCCAAAAAAAAAATGTTGGTTTTCATAATTTCATTCTGGTCACAGGAAGTCTATGACAGGCAGTATTGGCAGACGGAAGGTATGTCCGCGCTATAAGGGAACGGGGTGAAACTTCTGAAAGTGGGTAAATGCAAACTTGTGGCCAAAGAAATCAGTTTTTCCGTATTGACTAGTAACACCGAAAATGATGTGTATTTTTCACAAAAAAATTGAGGCACGATTTTCGAATTTCGCAAAGGATATTCCTGAGAGGCCTTGAGTAAACCAGGGAAAGGGTTTTTTAATGGTTTAAACCAGTTTTTTTTCAGCGATTGAGAATTTCGTCAAAAATGAAATGCCGGCAATTGCATATGATAGAGGCTCTGGTGTAGGCTTGGACGAACAGAGTGAATGGGGCGGATGATTTGGGGACTTGGGTGTGGCGGGAGCGAAACACAATAGGTAAGGGCTGCTGGCGCCGCGAACCAGGTACGAGGCGGGTCGGTTTGGCTAGGTTTCAAGTGTAAATTAAGCTACCAGGCAATCCCTAACTTGGGGGGTTTTCATGTATTTAGCGCGTGAGGGCCTGGGTCTTCACGATGGAATATCTCACGGCATTTCAACACCGCTTTTTTCGGTCGTCCGCCCAGATGTTGCAAATGATCGCCACATTAGTTAACACTTGCTCGATTCCTGTCGCGAATCAATGCGACATCTAGCGGCAGGACAGAGAAAGATGGCGAATGGCCCGGCCTCACGCGCCAAGAAATAAAACTCCAAGTAAAGGGTTTTCCAGTTAAACGATAGAAAGGGACAAATCTAATTAAAGCAGATTGGTGTTTACCTTTTTTAAAAAATCGAAATTCACTGTTTTGTGAATAAAGGCAGGACTCAATTTCATATTTTTTTTTCAGAACGTGCAAGTGTTTCGTGACAAATGCTTTGAAAGTGAAATTGAAGTTTTTTCGCGTTAAACAAGAAATTCCCATATTGATACGAAAACGGTTATCCTCGGTGGTGTCTACTGCCGTTAAAGAAAAAAAGGGGTAAATGAGTGACTTTCTGTATGAGTTCATCAAATTATACAATTCCTCTTAATTTTTTCCAGTTCCAACGTTACAAAAATTAATTTGTTGAAAGCAACATTTGAAATTTTAAAGAAAAAATTTGGAGCATGTTTTGATAGTGATTATCCTTGCTTTTTTTGTAAATTTAAAAATTGCAAAAATTTTTTGCAACGCAATTTTGCACGCAACGCGCGAGAACTACTAAATTTTCAAACATGTAATATGACCCTCAATGAAAGAGGAAGTTATAGAAAACAAATTTTATTGAAAGGAAAACTTCTATCTATCTTCTCTATCTCTTATTTCCTTTCAATTTTGGTAGTTGTAGGAATGGCTCGGGAAGCAAAATTCAAACTTTATTTTGAAAATTTTTGAAAATTCCAAGAGTTACATTGACATCTGACCTTATGCCACTTTACAAGAATTTAAGAAAACATTTGAAACCGTTTGAGAAAATGGGTTTGAATATTGGCCCGAGGGGGCTTCATGTTAATGGACCGCAAAATTTTAAAGAATAGTTTGCAAATCTTAAAGCTTCTACTGGAGGCAAAATCGACAGCTTTTCCTTCAATTTGCAAAAAAAAAATCTTACCGTATGGGTGTAGGCGCTAGATGTGGATCACAGGCTGACGGACAAACGTTTAACCGTCAAAATGGATACTTTCGGAATCAAGACAGTCACAATACTGGATTCTGGCTACCACATGTAGAGGATTTTCACTCCCATTTCCTTTCGAACTGGATTATCGCGTTTTCCGTTATCAGAAGCGGCAATGAATTATTTTCCTAAAACAGGACAATTGGTCGTTTTTTTTCACGCTCAGCTTATAGTATTAGCATAACTTTTCCCCATACTACGTTATAGTACCCGTATAAATACATAAATGTTATCGGGAAGTAACAAATTGAGTAAATTCAGTCTCT